TGGAAAATAAGTATTTGGTCACCTACAAACAAGCAAGATTTCTGGCTCTCACAGACCTGTAACTTCTTCTTTAAGAGGCTCCTCTGTCCTCCACTCGTTACCTTTATTAATGGCACCTGTTTGAACTTGTTATCAGTATAAAAGACACCTGTCCACAACCTCAAACAGACACACTCCAAACTCCACTATGGCCAAGACCAAAGAGCTGTCAAAGGACACCAGAAACAAAATTGTAGACCTGCACCAGGCTGGGAAGACTGAATCTGCAATAAGTAAGCAGCTTGGTTTGAAGAAATCAACTGTGGGAGCAATTATTAGGAAATGGAAGACATACAAGACCACTGATAATCTCCCTCGATCTGGGGCTCCACGCAAGATCTCACCCCGTGGGGTCAAAATGATCACAAGAACGGTGAGCAAAAATCCCAGAACCACACGGGGGGACCTAGTGAATGACCTGCAGAGAGCTGGGACCAAAGTAACACACTACGCCGCCAGGGACTCAAATCCTGCAGTGCCAGACGTGTCCCCCTGCTTAAGCCAGTACATGTCCAGGCCCGTCTGAAGTTTGCTAGAGTGCATTTGGATGATCCAGAAGAGGATTGGGAGAATGTCATATGGTCAGATGAAACCAAAATATAACTTTTTGGTAAAAACTCAACTCGTCGTGTTTGGAGGACAAATAATGCTGAGTTGCATCCAAAGAACACCATACCTACTGTGAAGCATGGGGGTGGAAACATCATGCTTTGGGGCTGTTTTTCTGCAAAGGGACCAGGACGACTGATCCGTGTAAAGGAAAGAATGAATGGGTCCATGTATCGTGAGATTTTGAGTGAAAACCTCCTTCCATCAGCAAGGGCATTGAAGATGAAACGTGGCTGGGTCTTTCAGCATGACAATGATCCCAAACACACCGCCCGGGCAACGAAGGAGTGGCTTCGTAAGAAGCATTTCATGGTCCTGGAGTGGCCTAGCCAGTCTCCAGATCTCAACCCCATAGAAAATCTTTGGAGGGAGTTGAAAGTCCGTGTTGCCCAGCGACAGCCCCAAAACATCACTGCTCTAGAGGAGATCTGCATGGAGGAATGGGCCAAAATACCAGCAACAGTGTGTGAAAACCTTGTGAAGACTTACAGAAAACGTTTGACCTGTGTCATTGCCAACAAAGGGTATATAACAAAGTATTGAGAAACTTTTGTTATTGACCAAATACTTATTTTCCACCATCATTTGCAAATAAATTCATTAAAAATCCTACAATGTGATTTTCTGGAGAAAAAATTTCTCGTTTTGTCTGTCATAGTTGACGTGTACCTATGATGAAAATTACAGGCCTCTCTCATCTTTTTAAGTGGGAGAACTTGCACAATTGGTGGCTGACTAAATACTTTTTTTCCCCCACTGTACCACTGCAGCTTTGCTTTACTTGCTGTGTAGTTTCTTGTGACCTGATGACAGACAAAACATTTGGTTTCTGGTGCCAAGATTTCTGGCATCATCAACATTACTGACATTGCATCATCAGCACATCATGTTGGCTTCAACATTTAACTTGTAATTTTGAAAACCATACATTCAAAGCGTTTTGAAGTATATGTTTGGGGATTTAAATTCTGTGTCTCTCAACATGTGGGAGGAGGGGGTGGTGTTTAGAAGACAGATTTCCCTTTCTAATAAAATGGAAAATAAAGTAGCTATCTATCCTGTGGATGATTATATTCTCAATACTGTGCCTATGTGCCATTCAGAATGGCACTATGTTCTCTGTAACATGCCCTTCATAGAACAAGCCGTGTTTGTGGGCCAAACAAATGCTGCATAGCACAAATATAGCCATTGTCTTGGACTAGGCAGCTTGCCAGGAACATGAAACAAAGAGAGGTTGGAGCACTTCTGTTGAATGAACAAAGGCCAAAGTTATGAATTATTATTTTATGTTGGATGATCATTAAGAGTATTCAGTACAGATGTAGGATCTTAATTTGAGCCAGTTTGCTGCAGCAGGAAAATAATCCTACAGCAACAGGAAATGTGAATTATTATGTGCATTATAATTAATGGACATTTATGTAGGATGTGATACATTTTTCGTAAGTGAAATTCAAGTCTGAAATTTCAAAGTGGAAATTACAAACTTCAAAAAGTCAAAATACACTACAAGTTAAAAATGTCCACGAGAGATTATACAGTGCATTCGGAAAGTATTCAGACCCCTTGACTTTTTCCACATTTTTTTACATTACAGCCTTATTCTAAAATGGATTAAATTGTTTTTTCCTCTCATCAATCTACACACAATACCCCATAATGACAAAGCAAAAACAGGTTTTATAAATCTTTCGAAATGTATTAAAAATAAAACACTGAAATATCACATTTACATAAGTATTCAGACCCTTTACTCAATACTTTGTTGAAGCACCTTTGGCAGCGATTACAGCCTCGCGTCTTATTGGGTATGACGCTACAAGCTTGGCACACCTGTATTTGGGGAGTTTCTCCCATTATTCTCTGCATATCCTCTCAAGCTCTGTCAGGTTTGATGGGGAGCGTCGCTGCAGAGCTATTTTCAGGTCTCTCCAGAGATGTTCGATCGGGTTCAAATCCGGGCTCTGGCTGGGCCACTCAAGGACATTCAGAGACTCCTGTGTTGTCTTGGCTGTGTGCTTAGGGTCGTTGTCCTGTTAGAAAGTGAACCTTTGCCCCAGTCTGAGGTCCTGAGCGCTCTGGAGCAGGTTTTCATCAAAGATCTCTCTGTACTTTGCTCCGTTCAGCTTTCCCTCGATCCTGATTAGTCTCCTAGTCCCTGCCTCTGAAAAACATCCCCACAGCATGATGCTGCCACCACCATGCTTCACCGTAGGGATGGTATGGCCAGGTGATGAGTGGTGCCTGGTTTCCTCCAAGTGTGACGCTTGGCATTCAGGCCAATGAGTTCAATCTTGGTTTCATCAGACTAGAGAATCTTGTTTCTCATGGTCTGAGAGTCCTTTAGGTGCCTTTTGGCAAACTCCAAGCAGGCTGTCATGTGCCTTTTACTGAGGAGTGGCTTCCGTCTGGCCACTCTACCATAAAGGCCTGATTGGTGGAGTGCTGCAAAGATGGTTTTCCTTCTGGAAGGTTCTCCTATCTCCACAGAGGAACTCTGGAGCTCTGTCAGAGTGACCACCGGGTTCTTGATCACCTCCCTGACCAAGGTCCTTCTCCCCCGATTGCTTAGTTTGGCCGGGCGGCCAGCTCTAGGAAGAGTCTTGGTGCTTCCAAACTTCTTCCATTTAAGAATGATGGAGGCCACTGTGTTCTTGGGGACCTTCAATGCTACAGAAATTTTTTGGTACCCTTCCCAGATCTGTGCCTCAACACAATCCTGTCTCTGAGCTCTATGCACAATTCCTTTGACCTCTTGGCTTGGTTTCTGCTCTGACATGCACTGTCAACTGTGGGACCTTATCTGGACAGGTGTGTGCCTTTCCAGATCATGCTCAATCAATTTAATGTACCACAGGTGGACCCCAATCAAGTTGTAGAAACATCTGAAGGATGATCAATGGAAACAGGATGCACCTGAACTCAATTTCGAGTCTCATAGCAAAGGGTCTGAATACTTATGTAAATGTGTAGAATTGCAGGAAATTAGCTTTAAAACAGTTTGAACAGTTTGGGGTTGCATATGTTGTGAGGTGGGGGTTTGTTACTACACTGAAAAATGACAATATTAATCCGAACCTTTGCCACCTAGGAAGTTTGTGTGACCGGACCTTCTCAAATAGTAGTTGAGTACCCCTGTAGTAGAGAATTTCCCTCAAGACACTTGAAGATGGCAGTATTCAAAGCACAACACTGCCATCTAGGGTGCCACTTTGATTCCACACACAACAATACACTTGGGTTTACTTTCTCTGAGGGAAACCAGGACTGCAGCTATACATGAAATGGGATGCAACATGGTCTATAGGGATAGGATAACACAGAGACTACAAAATATTTGTGCCACATACAGTATGTCTCATTTAAAGCAGCTGCCATCTGGTCGTTTTTATTCATCAACATGAAGAACCAAACAGAGCAAAGATGATCTGTTAAAAAAACATGTACAAAAGATATGCCTTTTTATTATCTTTCTCTCATCACCATCTGTATTAATTTAGTTGGAATATTTAGCATTAGAATTTAACGCCCTAAATACTGTAGCGGTACTGTTTTTATACATAAAGATAGCAGCTGACCATGGCACCTTTGCAGTGATCTACAGCTCTGATTATGATACACTGTAATGTCTAAGGCGTGGACTTTATTGTCCGCTCTGAGGACAATAAAGTATCAATCTATCTATAAGGCGTGTGCAAGGTCTTTGTGGATTGTATAAGGATATGTTAATTACAACTTGGCTGGTCTTTTTTTTGTTTGTGTAAGCTGTGGACTAACTAAAACAAGCTAGCCCTCCTGATAAATATGGTCTTGCCACAGGCTATTGACGAACAGTTACAGCTGAGTCCACATTTCACTTGTAGCCAACTACACTGTTATATAAAGCACTTTCATTATCCAAGTACAACATAATATAGAGACTAGCTGAGTAGAGAAGTAACAGTAGTGGATCAGATTCAATATTTCCCTTTATAGTGTTTCTGTAATCTCAAAAAGTAACAGATGGGTTGAAATGATCAAACTTGTGGTAATTGACATGATCAAATAATATTGATGAAGCTTTGAGCTTAAGATAATACAATGGAATGTTCACAAGTTTCTAGTGTATGGAGTATACAATTTGTGATGGTAATATAATGAATATTGTAAAAAGTATGTGGTGCAAAATGTGATTGGTTGCCTTCATTGTTATTTCAAAAACCTATTTAGAATATATATTTGGACAGTAAATTAAGTCCAAATATGAGGCGCTTCAGGATAATACATTCAATATTTCCACTCTAGTATATATTCAATCTTTCTGATTATAGGCCTACATTCTATCCAGTGTATGTTGATTGAAGCTTGTGCTAGACACTGCATAATACAGTATAACAGTGTAATAAATAACAATATCAACAATACAAGAACAAGTAATCCTGTTGTTGATTTCCTCTGATAGACCGTATACCTTAGCCTGGCCCCAGATCTGTTTGTACTATCATTCCACTCCTTGCCACCCCATGACAAACATTATGTTTGCCATATGACACAGAGTACAAGGAGTCAAATATTAGCACAAATGGACTGGTACCCAGGCTAAGTATTAGTGATGCGCGGGTTGAATCATAACCCGCAGTCCCCGCGGTTATATCCGCGGGCGGGCAGGTTTAGGGTTATTCAATATTGTGCGGATGAAGGGCAGGTGGGTGACAGGCGGGTTGAATACCTTAAAAAACAATACCTTAGAAAATCCATAAATGTAGCCTATCATTCTTGTGAAATATATATCTGTAGGCTACATTGACGTTTTCTTTCATTATTTTAGGCTATCTGGCATTAGTGCGTAAGCTTTATCTTTAGGGCCTAACTGTACATGCTCCAAATAGCCTACACGCCAAACTCCAAAATGCATTTGGGAATGGGCAGAAAAAAGTGAACGTCTATCCATGGAGGCAAAAAGGACAATGTCGGACTTTAATTCGATAAGAGAAAAGCTGCGAAATGGAGAATTGAAAATAAAGAGAAGAGAGGGCCAGAAAAGTAATGTTTGGGAAAGATTTGGTGAAGTGGTAAAAGAGGATGATAGCAGTGTTGTGTGTGATGATTGTGAGGCGCTATACCAATTAGACAGTCACAAGACGGACTTCAAATAGGCCTATGGCATGTCAAGGGAACTGTAGCCTACTGTTCAAATGAGTTAAATGGAAACTGAAATCTGGACACTGATTGTAAGTCTATAACCTCTCACACAGCCTTAATATGAACTCCTGCAGAATTAAGCATTTCTTTAAGTAAAATGATACACCAAATGTAAGCTACATTTTGACTCGGGAACAGGAGTGGAGAAATTCGATTTCTTTCTTTCAGCATCTTGACAGAATGCGAATGCGCAGTTAGATACCGTCTGTAGAGGTGCTATCTTTATCAGCATCATAAAAGCTTATAGTAAGCTATTTCAACCACATAAAATATGCATCCAAGCTGAACTGAAATCCTATCAGAAACATGTTGGGTCGATTTCACACCTTCCTATTTCCTTACAACCGGTCAAACTGATGTCATTTGGAAATTTTGCACAGAAAATCTTTCTATCCCCTCCCACTCCTAAACACCTTTGCTCCAAGAAAGAAGCAGAGACAGGGAAAACTTTACCGATGTCAACTAGATTGAAGCATTCATTCTATCGATGTATGACATTATTCTGGTGAGCAAGGGTTTACTTAGTCTTCTAGGGCAACATTTGGCCTAGTGACATAAGAGAAGCTTCATGTATCTAATTATAGATAAGTTGACTAACAAATAGCCTACCAAAATGTTGGAAATTATAAGCAGAAACATATCTAAATCGGGCAAAAAAGATTCCTGCACCCCCTGTCAAATCGTTCTGCCGTCTCTCACTATCCTACAGCACATTTTCTATATTAGCAAGTTAGGGCCAGATTTTCACTTTATCACATATAGACGGGCGGTTGTGGATGGGTTATTAGCAATTGCGGGCAGACGCGGGTGAACAAACAGCTGACCCGCGCACCACTACAAAATATACATTTCCTGTGACTAATTATATTGTTAAGAACCATTTCATTACATCACAAAGCCATATTCCCTTCTGACATGAAGTAACACTTAGACATATTACTCAAAACATACACCCACACAGCAAATTGGCCAGTGTTATCTAGTGTTGATTTTTCAGTGTAACATTTCTAGTGTTGATTCAAGAGTTAAATGAACTCTGTAAGAGTGAAATTAACACTCAGTAGTGTAAAATAACCCCAGTGTTGGTATTAATAACCAGTGTTAAGTCTGAGAATGTAATAGTGTCAGTTTTACTATGTGGAGAGGAAAACATTCCCATCAAAACCACGGCCATCAGATTTCCCAGCATGCTCTACTGCAGTTAGTCACTTTTAGGATTGTTTTTAATATCTGTGTTTTCGCATGTACATTGATTGATTGATTGATTGATTAATGTTATGGTACACAAATAACATTTTTAAATAACATACATTTTTCTCAACTAATCCAATCAGATAGTTAAATTTATTGCATCCATTACTGAAATGGCTGTTCCAGTTTAAATGGTTTAGGTCAGGGATGGGCAACTCTGGTCCCAGGGGGCCTGATTGGTGTCACAATTTTGCCCCAGCTAATTTAGAATTTTTTTAATTAGTTTAATCAGCTGTGTTTGCTAGGGATGGGGAAAAAGTGTGACACCACTTTGGCCCCTGAGGACTGGAGTTTCCCATCCCTGGTTTAGGTAGTCTCCTCACAATGTTCCTAACCCTGACAGTCATTCTGAATGATTAAAACTCTGGCTGGTTTCCTATAGGAATTACACATCACTTTGCAAGCCTGCATAATGTGACTTGCAGATGTGGCCTGTACACCAGGATGTTCCTAACACCACTGTGTTAGGGTGAAACTTGGCCATCAAAGTAAGGCCTTATATATTTAATGTATTGCCCTAAAGAGTTACATTTTAATGATAACATTCACCTCCAGTGGTAACTCACTCGGTGAAGTCCACAGGACTGAAAATGAATGAATTCAACAACCATGTCTCTGTCACTAACAAATACAGTCATGGGTGGTAAATCTACAATTCACTCGAAAAGGCAAGGCACTGGGAAATTATATTGGAGGTTTAGTAGGCTTAGTTGAGGCGTGGCTTTAAATTAGTTGTTTTTGGCCACCCATGAGTGGAAGTGTTGTACCAGTGTAAGTGGTCTATGGTTATACTTATTGAAGTTTAAATATGTCTGCTGCCAGTCCTGAAGTCTTTGTAAATGCTTACATAAGTGCATGTAGCATTAAATAGTTATTATTATTGTAACGTCCTTAATCCAACACCAGCGACCTTGTCAACAGATACGGACCTCTATGCGTAATGGTTAAAAATACTATATGAGGTGTAATTGCATAACACCATTAGTGTAAACTATATACACTTCCTAGTGTTAAAAATACTATATGAAGTGTTATTGCATAACACTAAAAGTGTTAATCGTGTGGTCCCTTATAGAAAACATTGTCACTGTCAGTGTTGATTTAACACTGGAGAATTTGCTGTGCATGAATATCACAATTTCCCCCCCAGAACAGTAGAGTGCTTAGAGTTTGATCATGATAAACTAAGTATACACTATGATTGTCAGATTGAGACAAAATTGGCATTTGCTTTTTGCACATATAAGTAATTTGCCTTGTCTGAGCCAGAATGGCCCATAGGGCAGGAGCCAATCTCCTGTTTATGTAGTGTGAGGCAGTTTGATGTACAAGTACACCCCCTGGACAGGACGCTAATGTATCGCAGGGCCTTTTGCACAGATACTGTAAGGCATTTCACTCAGCCTTCATTTTGTCTCTGATATCAGAAGGCAAGGTTTCAAACAGGACGTCCTCCACCACTAGGCCGCCACGCTTCAACGCCCGGCAGAACCGTAGCTCTGGAGGCAGGAGCTCAAAATGGTTGCCCTTCAGTTCCAGGTGTGTCAATAGAACCAGGTATGAGATCTTTGGTGAGAGCAATGACAGCGTATTCTTGCCCAGCTTGAGGGTTTTGAGCTTCTTGCAAAAGAAGAGCTCGTCTGGGAGGTTCTCGATCTTGTTGCACGTAACAGAGAAGTACTGAAGACTCTGTAGGACGCCGATCTCCGGCGGAATGAACCGGATGTCGTTGTTTGACAGGTCCAGGTAACGAAGCTTGTTGCATAAGAACAGGTGCGAGGGCAAGATCTCTATCTTGTTGTGGCTAAAGTATAGGCGCTCCAGGCTGCCCAGCTTTTTGATGTGCTCGGGGATGTAGCAGATACTATTGTGCCAGAGTTTCAGGCACGTCAGCTTGTGGAGGTGTTGGCAGCTGACTATCTCCTCAATGGAGTGCAGGTTGTTTTCCTTCAGGTCCAACTCCTGCAGAGTTAGAGTTATACAAATGTGTTTTAAGTGTCACTCCACAATATTACAGCAATTGGCAATACATAAGACATATTTGAGGTCAAGAAAACCACCCAGAACAGAGTTAGCTGGAGATACACCTTTAAGGCCCTTTGCTCAACTAGGAGCTGAAAAGAATAAGTCATTACATATTTAAAAACCACATTGTGGACCACTCAGTGTGGAGACACTGTAGGCAATCATAGCAGGCATTCAAAGTACGGCATATCATACCTGTAGGTTCGTGAGGCTGAAGACAGCATGTGGGATGCGTTCCAGGTCACAGTGAACCAGTTCCAGTTCAGTCAGGTTCACCATCTTCTTCAGGTTGTTGAGCATCACCAGCTTAGTGCCATCGTTGTAAACGTACAGCCTCTGCAGGTGGCTGGACACGTCCACGATGGACTGGGGGATCTTTGTAAAGTTACTTTTGAGCGACAGGGTCTTCAGATTCTTCAGCTCCCTCAGAGACTCCAGAACCACATTCTTAGAAGCGTCAGGACTCAGTGAGCCAATGAGGTAGAGCTCCTCTAGATTCCGCAGGTGGTACAGCCAATGAGGCAGCTCCCTGCTGTCATCAAACTTCACCCTGAGCACCTTAGATAAAGATAGATAGATACTTTATTAATAACAAATACAAATAAAAACTGCCACACCAAAATACTACCAGAATAGCATACCTTAAGGTTCTCCTTGAGGAAGGAAGTGGCTGTGGTGTGGATCTTTAAACAACACTGATACAGAGACAGCTCCTGGAGGTTTTCCAGCTGGGCGATGGAGGCTGGGATGGTTACGTTGTTGATGATCTCTAGCTTCAGGGACTGGAGCTCTGTCACCTCGAAGATGGTGTCCGGGAGCCCAGACAGCATGAAGAGCTGCAGCTCCAGTCTGTTGTTGTGGTTGGTCAGCAGTCTCTGACGTAGCTTCTCTGGTGTCCACTCGTGGTTCAGGTTCAACTGTTTCAGTTTGTTCTCACTGACCTCAGACAGGAACACTGCGAACCTGAGAGAGAGAGAAAGCGAGAAGAATAATACTTTAATGTCCAATGTAGAAAGATGTGCCATGGCAACTTCTGCTTTTGTGTTCTGCTTTATTCCAACCCCTTCGAACGGATGGAGCACAGGGCAGCCATACAACGGCACCCGAATGGTTTGTTTTACAATTGGAGGCATTACATACTTATCAACAGCAACGAAGAGCTAAATTACTTGAAACAATTTACCATTTTCTAATTAAAAATAACTTTGCACCTCTTGGAGTACAGTGGGTCGTACTGGTCGATCATGTGCAGCATGAAGGCAAAGTCATTCTTCACGTCTGGGATGTCATCGATTCCCGTTTCTTGCCGCACGTATTCAAAGGAGTACTCCTTCAGAGAGCGGTAGAAGAGCCAGTAGGAAGTGTAGAGGCAGGTGAATCCGTACACAGCCACGAAGCACAGGTAACAGTATGACAACTTAGAGAACAGGTGGGCCATGGTGTGATTACAGGAGAAATGCTTATATCCCGTCATGTCCTGTATGTCCACACTGCACTTCACTGTGATCTGCACCTCAGAGACTAAAGCACTATTATACGCGATGATGAGGAGGAACTTGAACACCTTGAGAACAGTCTGGCGAACATACATAACATAGAGGATGTCCCCTTCCTCGACGTGCAGGCGGAACTTCTTCACCTTCTCAAACAGAGCTTTGGCTTGTTCTCCTTCTTTCTTATCCAGGGCGCTGGCTGTGGGCTTGTCCACTACGATCTTCTCTGGGATGGATTTGAGGGACTGGGTCTTCTCCAGGTTGTCCAGGTTCCCCTCTACAGACACGTTGAGGATCGCTCTGCTGGCACTGTTCTTCTTGTTGTCCTTTTATGAATAAATGAATTAATGAATTAATTAATGCATTTTATTTTAAATATTTTAAATATATACAATATAGGGCGGTTTCCCAGATACAGATTGAGCTTAGTCCTGGACAAAAAAGAATTTTGGAAGGAGATCCTCCATTGAGTCTACTGTTCAGTCCAGGCCTAGGCTTTATCTGTCTCCATGAAACCACCCCATAGAGTTTCCTCAGCCATTTGACTACAACAATACATACATACATACATACACTGCGTGTACAAAACATTATAAACACGTGCTCTTTTCAAGACATAGACTGACCAGGTGAATCCAGGTGAAAGCTATGATCGCTTATTGATGTCACTTGTTAAATCCACTTCAATCTGTGTAGATGAAGGGGAGGAGACCAATTAAAGAAGGATTTTTAAGCCTTGAGACAATTGAGACATGGATTGTGCATGTGTGCCATTCAGAGGGTGAATGGGCAATACAAAAGAGTTAAGTGCCTTTGAACAGGGTATGGTAGTAGGTGCCAGGCGCACCGGTTTGTGTCAAGAACTGCAACACTGCTGGGTTTTTCACGCTCAACAGTTTCCTGTGTGTATCAAGAATGGTCCACAACCCAAAGGACATCCAGCCAACTTGAGACAACTGTGGGAAGCATTGGAGTCAACATGGGCAAGCATTCCTGTGGAGGGGTGGGTGCAACTCAATATTAGGAAGGTGTTCTTAATGTTTAGTACACTCAGTGTACATACAAACATACATACATACAGTACCAGTCAAAAGTTTGGACACACCTACTCATTCAAGGGTTGTTCTTTATTTTTTTACTATATTATACATTGTAGAATAATAGTGAAGACATCAAAACTATAAAATAACACATATGGAATCATGTAGTAACCAAAAAATTGTTAAACAAATCAAAATAGATTTTAGATTTTAGATTATTCAAAGCAGCCACCCTTTGCCTTGATGACAACTTTGCACACTCTTGGCATTCTCTCAACCAGCTTCACCTAGAATGCTTTTCCAACAGTCTTGAAGGAGTTCCCACATATGCTGAGCACTTGTTGGCTGCTTTTCCTTCACTCTGTGGTTCAACTCATCCCAAACAATCTCAATTGGGTTGAGGTTGGGTGATTGTGGAGATCAGGTCATCTGATGCAGCACTCCATGACTCTCCTTCTTGGTCAAATAGCCCTTACACAGCCTGGAGGTGTGTTTTGGGTCATTGTCCTGTTGAAAAACAAATGATAGTCCCACTAAGCGCAAACCAGATGGGATGGCGTATCGCTGCAGAATGTTGTGGTAGCCATGCTGGTTAAGTGTGCCTTGAATTCTAAATAAATCACAGACAGTGTCACCAGCAAAGAACCCCCACACCATCACACCTCCTCCTCCATGCTTCACGGTGAGAACCACACATGCAGAGATCATCTGTTCACCTACTCTGCGTCTCACAAAGACACGGCAGAACCAAAAATCTCTAATCTGGACTCATCAGACAAAGGACAGATTTCCACCGGTCTAATGTCCATTGCTCGTGTTTCTTGGCCCAAGCAAGTCTCTTCTTCTTGTTGGTGTCCTTTAGTAGTGGTTTCTTTGCAGCAATTCGACCATGAAGGCCTGATTCACGCAGTCTCCTCTGAACAGTTGATGTTGAGATGTGTCTGTTACTTGAACTCTGTGAAGCATTAATTTGGGCTGCAATCTGATATACAGTTAACTCTAATGAACTTATCCTCTGCAGCAGAGGTAACTCTAGGTCTTCCTTTCCTGTGGCGGTCCTCATGAGAGCCAGTTTCTTCATAGCGCTTGATGGTTTTTGCGACTGCACTTGAAGAAACTTTCAAAGTTCTTGACATTTTCCGGGTATCTTCTGTATACCACCCCTACCTTGTCACAACACAACTGATTGGCTCAAATGCATTAAGAAGCAAAGGAATTCCACAAATTAACTTTTAACAAGGCACACCTGTTAATTGAAATGCATTCCAGGTGACTACCTCATGAAGCTTGTTGAGAGAATACCAAGAGTGTGCAAAGCTGTCATCAAGGCAAAGGGTGGCTACTTTGAAGAATCTCAAATATTTTGACTTGTTTAACACTTTTTTGGTTACTACATGATTCCATATGTGTTATTTAATAGTTTTGATGACTTCACTATTATTCTACAATGTAGAAAATAGTAAAAATAAAGAAAAACCCTGGAATGAGTAGGTGTGTCCAAACCTTTGACTGGTACTGTACATTCATACATACAGTACATACTGTACAAACACATACCAACAATACCTTCTCCTCTGGGTTCTCTCCAGACACCTCAGACAGAGCTCTGGTAGTCCAGGGGGAGTCGAAGCACTTTCCCAAGATGGAGATGAAATGCTCTATCTTAGAGCTGGAGCCTGGGAACTTGAACCAGAAGTTGCTACACACCATGAAGATGAGGGTGTGTATGAGGACCAGGTAAGGGAAGTACTTGGCGTACCAGTGCAGGGCTTTCTCGTAGCACATCTGGTTTATGAAGCTGTACTGTTGAAGGTCCAGGTTGGTTTTCAGGCCCATCATCTCATGCACATCCTGCGACACAACAGGTGAGACCAGCTCGGTTTTATTTGGTAAGGCTATTGTTTGGTTCGCTATTGACGTTCTCTGTGGAAGGCAGATTATTTTGTCCTGCACCACCTGAAAGAAAATAAACGTGAAAAAAGACAATCACAATAAAGCAAGCAACCTTAATGTAAGGTCACAATACAACTGTCAAACGAGACCCAATGATGGCATACGACTAGGTGAAAAATCTGTCGATGTGCCCTTGAGCAAGGCACTTAACCCTAATTGCTCCTGTAAGTCGCTCTGGATAAGAGCGTCTGCTAAATGACATAAAATAAATAATAATATACACCACCACTTTAACTGAGTAGTAAACAGTTCTGAAATATTGAAATAGTTGACTGATTGTAATATTCATAGGATTTTATTAGGCACATTTATTTTTGTGCTGTCTTTTATATATATTTTAATAACAACAGCTAACCCACTAGGCAATTACATTGAATCAACGTGGAATAGATGTTGACGTCTGTGCCCAGTGGGAAAGTGAGTACCATTTCCAATGTATTCATTACAATTGGCAAAAAAGTATATTACAGTAACTTAGATACAATGATAATACAAACACCAGAGGCGGATATCGGATGTTATTTCTCCTTTCCTGCTGTGACAACATTGGTAGGACTGTGACTCAGACAGGAAATGACCAATTAGTGTTTTAGCCACCATAGACTGAAGAGGGAGACAGACTCGCTGTAATACAATGCAATACTGTACCACCAAATTATATGTTATGCTTTGACATAGCATTGCACTTTTATAACACTTACAACATTACATATCTTTTCTATTGCAATTATAGATGAATCATGAATGTGGTGACGTATTTACAGTAAGATTTTTTTGTTGTTTTTCTTCAGCGTAAAGATGTGCTTTTCTTATGAGCCAGACCAATGACATAGCCTAAATATCATGTGATTCTTGAGGCAGAGGACTGTGTCTGGAAAATGTGTCTAAAGAAAATGCCTGATCAGCTGGAAAAGGGGGAGCCTCTCTCTCTTTTAATGCAGGACAGGAGAAATGAAAAGTCAGACCTGCTGAGTACAGTCTCTGGAGAGAAGATCAGCAGAATTCTACAGACCCTGGTCATCTCTCTCTCTCTCTCTCTCTCTCTCTCTCTCTCTCTCTCTCTCTCTCTCTCTCTCTCTCTCTCTCTCTCTCTCACACACACACTCTCTCAATCTCACACTCTCTTTCTCACTCTCCTGATCTCACTCGATCTTTCTCTTCTTTTACTTTCTTTCTCGCTCTCTCTCGCTCTCTCTCTCTCACCCTCCCCCCTTACCCTCCATCTACATGCGGTAGCTACACTTTTGTGTGTAAAGCTATTCATTGGCTTCTCCCAGTTTAAAAATGTCCCTTTGGCAGAGACAGTGTTTACCTCCACTACTGTAAACTGAGACACACAGTTCCATAATGCCAGGAAATGTATGAATTAGGCACAGTGCTGTCTGCTTTGACTAGGCTGCAGTACAGTTCACCATGTAAACTACTAATGTAAACTTATGAGAGTCATCAGATGGGTCGTGTTTGGAAATCACCCACTACTTACAAACTGTGAAAGCAGTTTTTCTAAACAGTCATTTTTTTTGTAGTGATCCTTCTCTTGGCTCAAGGGACAACATGGGATATTCCCACCCCGATAAACTAGTTCCTGTCAGTGGTGTTTTGGGTTTTTCTAAAAAAGAATTACTTATAATCTACAGGGGTTTATATAGGAGAAGAGCAGACAGCGGCTCGGGTTAACTCTTACAGAAAAAACACGTTTCACAGGTGGAAAAACACATGATTTCACATGTGTAGTTTCATATTATCACGTTACTTCACATGTTGTCACATGTTATCACATTAACTTCAGATAATATCACATGTGATCGCATCAAAATGTGTTTTTGGAACACGTGAAATTCATGTGGTTTTTCTGTCAGGGAGGGCTCCACCATCTCTATCTGCAGCTAGTCAGAGTGATGAGGGGAAGGGAAGTGACTGGTCGCTGGAATCATGGCTGTGTCCCAGATGGCTCTGGACAAAAGAAGTGCACTACGAACAGTACCAGTCAAAAGTTTGGACACACCTACTCATTCAAGGTTTTTTCTTTATATTTACTATTTTCTACATTGCAGAATAATAGTAAAGACATCGAAACTATGAAATAACACATATGGAGTCATGTAGTAACCAGAAAAGTGTTAAACAAGTTAAAATATTTGAGATTCTTCAAAGTAGCCACCCTTTGCCTTGATGACAGCTTTGCACACTCTTTGCATTCTCTCAATCAGCTTCATGAGGTAGTCACCTGGAATGCATTTCAATTAACAGGTGTGCCTTGTTAAAAGTTAATTTGTGGAATTCCTTTCCTTCTTAATGCATTTGAGCCAATCAGTTGTGTTGTGACAAGGTAGGGGTGGTATACAGAAGATCGCCCTATTTGGTAAAAGACAAGTCCATATTATGGCAAGAACAGCTCAAATAAGCAAAGAGAAATGACAGTCCATCATTACTTTAAGACATGAAGGTCAGTCAATCTGGAAAATGTAAAGAACTTTTAAAGTTTCTTCAAGTGCAGTCGCAAAAACCATCAAGCGCTATGATGAAACTGGCTCTCATGAGGACCGCCACAGGAAAGGATGACCCAGAGTTACCTCTGCTGCAGAGGATAAGTACATTAGAGTTAACTGCACATAAGATTGCAGCCCAAATAAATCATTCACAGAGTTCAAGTAACAGACACATCTCAACATCAACTGTTCAGAGGAGACTGCGTGAATCAGGCCTTCATGGTCGAATTTCTGCAAAGAAACTACTACTAAAGGACACCAATAAGAAGAAGAGACGCAGAGTAGGTGAACAGATGATCTCTGCATGTGTGGTTCCCACCGTGAAGCATGGAGGAGGAGGTGTGATGGTGCTTTGCTGGTGACACTGTCTGTGATTTATTTAGAATTCAAGGCACACTTAACCAGCATGGCTACCACAGCATTCTGCAGCGATACGCCATCCCATCTGTTTTGTGCCTAGTGGGACTATCATTTGTTTTTCAACAGGACAATGACCTGAAACACACCTCCAGTCTGTGTAAGGGCTATTTGACCAAGAAGGAGAGTGACAGAGTGCTGCATCAGATGACCTGGCCTCCACAATCACCGACCTCAACCCAATTGAGATGGTTTGGGATGTGTTGGACCGCAGAGTGAAGGAAAAGCAGCCAACAAGTGCTCAGCATATGTGGGAACTCCTTCAAGACTGTTGGAAAAGCATTCCAGGTAACTACCTCATGAAGCTGGTTGAGAGAATGTCAAGAGTGTGCAAAGCTGTCATCAAGGCAAAGGGTGGCTACATTGAAGAATCTAAAATCTACATGATTCCATATGTGTTATTTCATAGTTTTGATGTCTTCACTGTTATTCTACAATGTAAAACAAAATTAAGAAAAAACCTTGAATGAGTAGGTGTGTCCAAACTTTTGACTGGTACTGTATATAGGGAATAGGGTCCCATTTCGGATGAAGCCCATGTGTTTATGAAGAGGCGGTGGGGCAGCCGGGGGGAACATTTTTGGTGCGCAGTGCAGTTTCTGTGTGTGTGTGGAGTGCAGGAATGTCTTCCCCTTTCCGTTGGTAAACTCCCGCTATACTGTGCAGCTTACATGAACCCAACACTGGGCTGTTTGTGACTACAGGACAGGACACATTAGATCTACGGAGCAGTGAATCAGGAAGTTACTTTAAAGGCTAATATCTGCTATAACATCCTAACTACACAGCGCACAAGGCATACTGTGTGAACTACAACATATTTCTCATTATGACACCAATTCAACCACTTTTGCCCCCCTAGGTATAGGACTATGCTACAAGATAAAGTTATAATGTGTATACACCTTGTTCATTAGATAGTCAGGCCTTTTGGACACTCTGAGGCAGAGAAAGCAGAGATTATGCGGTTTGAAGATACTGACCTTGTACTGTGCATCCGAACACTCAGATCATGAGCATGATGACAGAGAGGTAGTCTGTGTACTAACCTGTAGGGTGCATCCGAACACTCCGATCATTAGCATGACCACAGAGAGGTAGTCTGTGAACACATCCCACCAGGGCTTCAGAACCCGGAATGCTGGCTCCTGCTCTGAGAATTGCCGGAACTCCGTCACAGGAATCATGGCTCCCGCTGGGACAGAGATTTAGGGATTGTTTGCAAACAATGTATTTATAAACAATGTATAGCTTCAAAATATGTTTAGTCCTTATATGTGCCAATCATTACGACCATAGCTCCATTTATGAATTTAAAAGTGGTAAAATTTCTCCATCCCCATCCATTAGCTTTATAGCAAACCAAGTGGCAGGGCTGCCTTTTGGTTGAAAAAACGAATGAAGGATTGTGCCTTTAAGCCTCCATTTAAATTGCCTTGTCACTTTCCTGGAGGATGCTGACCTACTGTATATGTTCAATATGGCCAGCTTTCAGACTAGTTAAACACGCAGGGGGAATTGTAGAGGGAAACATAGCTAGCCTTCACAAGACGATACTTGGAACTAATTAGGGCTACACTCACACTGACAACCCAATCATACACTCCAGAATCATATCTATCATGGTAAGCATCACCTTCCGTATAACCAGTCTGTCTCTTGTTTGTCAAACAAACTAGCTCTGCCAAAATATAGCAGGCCCCAATATGGCCGTACATGAACATGTGTGTCAATTTGTACTGTAACTGTAAGGGTGTATAATTCCCTTGGTGATACTGTTAATGATTTGACTGTACAACAATAAACCGAGGCATGATGAAGCCTAGATTTTGGCAGTTGGTCTAGATTACAATTTCATGGCTGACATCCACTAAACAATCTGCCTGTTAGGATGGATAACTGAATCACAACAGAGTCTAACATAATATATAGAGCCATGCTAGTAGCATCATCAAGGCCTTATAAGCGTATGCCTGTCATGTCTACAATGACTCATCATTTACTATCCCTGATGTTGCTCTTCTCTCTCTCTGTCTCTCTCTCTCGTCTATCTCTTTTCCTCTTTTCCTTCCCCCTTTCTCTCTTTGTCCCTTTCTCGCTCTGTCACGCTCTCTCTTCCTCCCTCCTTCCCTCTCTCTCTCTCTCTCTCTCTTCCTTCCTCCCTCCCTCCCTTCTACCCTTCTCTCTCTCTCTCTCTCGCTCCGTCTCTCTCTCTTTCTCTCTCTCTCTCGGTGTCTCTCTCTCTTTCTCCCTCCCCCGCTCTCTTGTCATCTTTAGCAATCTGCTTACTACGGGTATCCTCTTCCTGTTGTCTCACTCTGAGCTCTATCCAAATGATGAAGTATAACAGCAATGTTTTTCAAACACAAATAGGGCTACCGTATAATGCACAATTTACTGCATAAAGTCCATTACGTCAGAGTGTGCTAAGTTTTAGCTTAACAGTGGAAAATGCCATATACAACTGACTAATGGTCTAGTAGACAGGACAGGAGTACCATAAAAATGGAATCACTATTTCTAATCACTATTGTGATTCTATTTCTGTGAGGAGTACCATCCACAACCACAGGATGCCCTCCTAATGATCCTCAACATCTGAGTCAGAGAGGAACATTCTTCAACATTAAGACAAAAGGATGTCAAATGTTTTTCCAACGATAGTCTCTTTCTTTGGAAAGTTATTTCTCACAGCATGAGTATGATTCTACTCTGTTTGCACATTAATGCAAATGTAAAACAATGCAACCAGAATAGTAACCCACTGGGAACCAACGGTTAAATCAAAACTGATTAAATTTACAAAAAATCTTCAAGGTAAAGGAATATCAGGAATTTGTGTCTTGTTTTCACCCAACTTTTACCCTAAATCCAATAAGATGGTTAACATTTTTGTTGATTTCACTTTGTCTTCACGGTAGTTGACAACTCCATCAAATGTAAACCAAAACTAGACATTGAACTGACGTCTGTGCCCAGTGGGAAGCATTTACATTAGTTGGCCTATATAGTTTACTCTGTAAAATGTCACATTTACATGATATAAGTAGGTATATAGGCTACTTATGTATAAATATATGTATGTGTATAAGTATGTATAGAATGTATAAGGAGACAACTGAATAATTAATAGATATATCATATTCTAGAAGAAGTTAGATAGATATACTTGACTGTGTTTGTTTGGCGATGGTTTTCATTTTGTTCTAAATTAATGTATATACAGTCTTCAGCACTAAACAACCACACAAGTGTATAGTCTATCAAAACATGTCTCAAGAGAGCTACAGCTAAATATGTTAGGCTTTTAATAACACAGTTGCACTGTTTTAAATAGACCACCATGCCAGAAACAAACAACCATCTTTAACCAGAGTCGGAAAGCTTAACACTTTGTCTCAAAGTCACAGATATACTGATTTCACTCTATAACTAGGCCTATAGTTTCATCTCTATTGTCCTTCATACAATTGAACACACCGTTTCCTTGAGGAGTTCATGAGATCATGGAAATAATGCATTTATGTAACTTGACATGAAGGATGGAAGATAGTTCAGGTTCAATAAAATGAGTTTTACATGACTCATAACTTGTATTAATGCAACTGTACACTGAGTATACCAAACATTAGGAACACCTTCCTAATATTGAGTTGCCCCCCTTTTGCAATCAGAACAGCCTCAATTCGTTGGGGCATGGACTCTACAAGGTGTCGAAAGCATTCCACAGGAATGCTGGCCCATGTTGACTCCAATGCTTCCCACAGTTGTGTCAAGTTGGCTGGATGTCCTCTGAATGGCACTCATACACAATCCATGTCTCAATTGTCTCAAGGCTTAAAACTCCTTCTTTAACCTGTCACTTCCCCTTCATCTACACTGATTTAAGTGAATTTAACAAGTGACATCAATAAGGGATCATAGCTTTCACTTGGTCAGTCAACATCGTGGAAAGCACAGGTGTTCTTAATGTTTTGTATACTCAGTGTATATTGTATAATACAAATGTATATGAAGTTCCAATGGGTATAAGGCATTAATAAACACTCTGTATCAGTTTGACTCCAATCAACTATAGCGGGAAGAACTGTACAAGGTGTTTTAACTACAGAGCCTTTTATCATTTTTAGAAAATGGTTCCTCCCTAGCCTAGATGAGTTGTTTGCTTTGTCAACTCAGTGAGCTGGCCTGGATGTCCGGGCGGCCCAGGTTTTATCCTATGCCTGGCTCTTCCTGACAGGAAACTCTGCAAATCTCCAACACAGACTTACTGGGAGTGCCCAAAACAGACTATGAATGTGTCCCAAATGGCACCCTATACCCTATATAGTGCACTACTTTTGACCAGAGCCCTGTCGGGCTACAATATATGGGGAATAGGGTAGCATTTGGGACAGACATGAATGTCTGGATAGATCACACCCAGTCCCCAGTCAGTCCCCAGGATAACACATCCTGTCCAAGATGGGTTTATTAATTAGGAGGGCCATGGAAAAACTATGTAGAAAATATTAGACTCCAGGGTCACTTTGAGAGAATAGGGGGGTGAACTTGTAACAATAGGTCTTAAATGATAACAATAACGTCAGACTTATGTAAGTGACTTGGGACATATTTTAACAATAACTTGTACAATGAAAACCCAAAATATCTTATACTACCGGTAAAGTATTATTCAACTACATACTGTAAACTGCTGAGCCTATTGGCTGACCTTAGAGCCGACTGTTCTCCTAGTTCACCTTCAAACCACATAATAGAAGGTAACAACATTGCATCTCTAGATATGATTAAAGAACAACATAAACCATCCCCTCTACACAGGATATTGACAAACTCAAGGGTTTAGTATTAGGCTATACAGTATAAGACTAATATATTATTAGGCTATACAGTATAAGACTAATATATGGTGTGAATTCTCTGCCTTGCATAAATAGGCACTCATACTGCTAACCAGAATAATATTTAATAACTATTTTTCCTCTTCTTTCCTTTTTGGGAAGAGGGGATGGGGGAATAGGTGATCTCATCATCCAAACTTGAGAAATCCCCACCACTTTTCCTATTTCTTTAAACAAAAGAATATCTAATTGAGATACAGTATGTATATGCCTAACTCAATATTAGCATTATTCAGAGGCAGTGTCAGCTAGTGCAGGAGGCTCGGGTTACATGGGCTATAGACAAGCCAAAGTTAAAATGTATATCTATATCGCTATGTAAACATGGCAACAATGCAATAGCAACAATATGTAGGCTAATTTACAGTAAAATACAGACACAGACAATGTAACGAAATATGCGCAATGGTAACAACATGGACCATCATCAATCATGTAAGAATACAATAACAAAATGTGCCTTACCCTAGTGATATCCGTCTGGCAGTCTAGATTCTATAGCGGTTTGTCGGTGGGTGTTTTGTAGGGCAGCGGCGGCAATCATGTCCTTGTGGATCTGGTGTGGTCCTCAGATTTCCGTTATTTCTGACTGCAAGCTTGTTCAATGTTCCTGTTTGTGATGCACGAAGACTGTAGCCTACTGACTGACTGACGCGGTCAGGGCGGGGACTAGCCTACTTACGTTTTGGGCTCGTGAGAATATTGTAACGAATGGTTGGAACCGAAATTATTTTTCAATCATTTCGTTCCGAACATAACCACTGTTTCCGTTCTGTTCCCGTGTTCCGACCAGGACAATAAAGTTATGAACATAGAGATTTGTTTTCTAAAATTCTTGACCGTCTCAGTCTCTGGACTTGAACCGCATTGAAAACCTGTAGTTTGAATTGAAGAGGGCAGTCCATAAGCGCAGACGAAGGATATTAAAGATCTGGAAAGATTCTGTATGAGGGACGATCTAAGATCCCCCCCAATATGTTCTCCAATCTCATAAAGAGTTTAGCTCAGTGCCATTATCCTCGCAAGGTGAGGTATTGCAAGGTATTGAAAACAGGGGTGCCAATAATTTTGACCCCTATCTTTTTGAGAAATAAATATCACTTTGTAAACAAAATCTCTTTCTCTGAGCAATAGTATTAGTATAAAATAATATTATTTCCCCATTTTTTGGAGCATACAATATAGCTCAGTATTTATATTTATGTTTATTTTTTGCTCATCTTTATCAAGGGTGCCAATACTTTTGGACTGACCGTGTAAACAGGGATGGAAAGAGTACTGAAATATTCTACTCAAGTAGAAGTACTGTTACTTTAATGAAATGTTACTCAAGTAGAAGCACTATTACTGGTGTAAAACAAACTACAAGTAAAAGTAGAAATTAGCTCATTTAAAAAGTAGAGTGAAAGTAATTGAGTTACTTTTAAAATAAAAACATGAACCTTGATAATTAGCAATTTTCGCTAAGGTTCCCTGAATGTTGTTATACATGATCTTTTCCATGCATTAAATTGGAAAAGGAAGAGAGGAAATTAATGTACAATAGGAACTACGTTTATTTATTTTATGAGTTGCAACAAGTCACATCTGTATGTAGAAAAACTAAGGATTTGTAAAAAAATATATACTGTTAGCATTTGGAAGGAAAGGAAGCTAGGAAAGGAAAGGCGGAAATGGAGCTAGAGATGAAAGAAGGAAAGGAATCTAGAAAAGGAGGGAAGAAAAGGGAGCTAGGAAAGAAAACGAGGAAAGAAAACGAATCTCAGAAAGGATAGGAGGAAATGAAAGGGTGCTAGGAAAGGGGGAAAGGAAGCTAGGGAAGGAAAGGGATCATGGAAGGGAAGCTCAGAACAGATAGGGGGAAAGGAAAGGAGGAATGAAGATAGGAAAGAAAATAAGGTAAGGGACCTTTGAAAGGAAAGGAAAGGGAGATAGGAAAGGAAGAAAGGGAGCCAGGAAAGCACAGTAGGGGAGGGGAGGAAAGGAAAGGGAGCTATCATTGGACGAAATGAAAGGGATCTAGGAAATAAAAGGAGGAAAGGGAACTATGAAAATATGAAAGGAAGTAGGAAAGGAAGCTAGGAAAGGAGGAACAAAGGGATCTTGGATAAAAGGAAAGAAAAGGAGGAAAGGGATCTAGGAAAGAAAAGGAGTTCACACATATGTGGTAGGGATTAACTATGGCCGGTAGATGGAGATAGTAGGCTATTGGTTTTAGTGAGAGGTGAATTTTATTTTTTATTTTAGAGTCTTCAAAGTAGCCACCCTTTGCCTTGATGACAGCTTTGCACACTCTTGGCATTCTCTCAACCAGCTTCATGAGGAATGCTTTTCCAACAGTCTTGAAGGAGTTCCCACATATGCTGAGCACTTGTTGGCTGCTTTTCCTTCATTCTGCGGTCCAACTCATCCCAAACCTCTCAATTGGGTTGAGGTCGGGTCATTGTGGAGGCCAGGTCATCTGATGCAGCACTCATTACACTCCTTCTTGGTCAAATAACCCTTACACAGCCTGAAGGTGTGTTTTGGGTCATTGTCCTGTTGAAAAACAAATTATAGTCCCACTAAGAGCAAACCAGATGGGATGGCGTATCGCTGCAGAATGCTGTGGTAACCATGCTGGTTAAGTGTGCCTTGAATTCTAAATAAATCACAGACAGTGTCACCAGCAAAGCACCCCCACACCATCACACCTCCTCCATGCTTCACGATGAGAACCACACATGCGGAGATCATCCGTTTACCTACTCTGCGTCTCACAAAGACATGGCGGTTGGAACCAAAAATCTCAAATTTGGACTCATCAGACCAAAGGACACATTTCCACCAGTCTAATGTCCACTGCTCATGTTTCTTGGCCCAAGCAAGTCTCTTCTTATTATTGGTGTTCTTTAGTAGTAGTTTCTTTGCAGCAATTCAACCATGAAAGCCTGATTCACGCAGTCTCCTCTGAACAGTTGATGTTGAGATGTGTTTGTTACTTGAACTTTGTAAAACATTTATTTGGGCTGGAATCTGAGGTGCAGTTAACTCTAATGAACTTATCCTCTGCAGCAGCGGTAATTCTGGGTCTTCCTTTCCTGTGGCGGTCCTCATGAGAGCCAGTTTCATCATAACGCTTGGTGGTTTTTGCGACTGCAGTTGAAGAAACTTTCAATGTTCTTGAAATGTTCCAGATTGACTGACCTTCAAGCCTTAAAGTAATGATGGACTGTCGTTTCTCTTTGCTTATTTGAGCTGTTCTTGCCATAATATGGACTTGGTCTTTTACCAAATAGGGCTATCTTCTGTATACCACCCCTACCTTGTCACAACACAACTGATTGGCTCAAAGGCATTAAGAAGGGAAGAAATTCCGCAAATTAACTTTTAACAAGGCACAACTTTTAATTGAAATGCATTCCAGGTGACTACCTCATGAAGATGGTTGAGAGAATGCCAAGAGTGTGCAAAGCTGTCATCAAGGCAAAGGGTGGCTACTTTGAAGAATCTCAAATATAAAATAGTTTTAGATTTGTTTAACACTTTTCTGGTTACTACATGATTCCATATGTGTTATTTCATAGTTTTGATGTCTTCACTATTATTCTACAATGTGGAAAATAGTAAAAATAAAGAAAAACCCTGGAATGAGTAGGTGTGTCCAAACTTTTGACTGGTATGGCATATTTGGGCCATTTTATTGTGTTCTCCACACAACCTCAAACATTTTAAGCCATCATTGGGCATTATATAGCTATTTTCTCTGGAAATACAGCCATATGAATCCTGTCCTAAGATGGTTGGCGGCCATATTTGAAAACAGCTGCCCTACAGTGTAATAGATTAAATCTGCATTGACACTATACCTAGACATGTTGTGTCATCATAAAGGCATTTTGTTCAAATGGGTTACTTATCTCCCTGCTGGATATAATGCATTCCTAAAGGGATTTTACCTAGTGACATGTACAGGAAATATTTCCTGTCACATTTCCTCAAAGTGACACAGTATATAATATCATATTATATATCATTGTAACCTGTAGACTTCAGGGATGACTTATATATTATATATTATTATATATATATATATATATATATATTTTGTATTTAATACACCACTTTGAAAGTGAGAGTATAACATTTTTACTGTGATTTCTGATGGTCTTTATCAGCAGTCAGTATGAAAATGTATGCACTCACTAACTGTAAGTCGCTCTGGATAAGAGCGTCTGCTAAATGACTAAAATGTAAATTTAATTGTTGCGATCATCAAGGTAAAAGCAAAGACCATGTGGTTTTGGTTGTTCCCCAAACCAATACAAACATTTAGCTACACTACATGGCCAAAAGTATATGGACACCCCTTCAAATGAGTGGATTCGGCTATTTCAGACACATCCGTTGCTGACAGGTGTATACAATAGAGCATACAGCCAAGCAATCTCCATAGACAAACATTGGCATTAGAATGTCCTGTACTGAAGAGTTAATGGGTTTCCATGGCCGAGCAGCCGGACACAAGTCTAAGATCACCATGCGCAATGCCAAGCATCGGATGGAGTGGTGTAAAGCTCACCGCCATTGGACTTTGGAGCAGTGGAAACGCGTTCTCTAGAGTGATGAATCACGCTTCACCATCTGGCAGTCCGACGGACTAATTATAATTATTATAATTATTTAATTTTTTCTGGGGGGGTAGATCAGCTTAATATTGCAGATAGATTGTAACTTCCATCAGACAAATTTTGGTTTGGCAGATACTAGGAGAACGCTACCTGCCTGAATGCATGGTGCCAACTGTAAAGTTTGGTGGAGGAAGAATAATGGGCTAGGCCCCTTAGTTCCTGTGAAGGGAAATCTTAACGCTACAGCATACAATGACATTCTAGACGATTCTGTGCTTCCAACTTTGTGGCAACAGTTTGGGGAAGGCCCTTTCCTGTTTCAGCATGACAATGCACCTGTGCACGAAGCGAGATCCATACAGAAATGGTTTGTCGAGATCGGTGTGGAAGAACTTGACTGGCCTGCACAGAGCCCTGACCTCAACCTCATAGCACACCTTTTGGATGAATTGCTCAACATCAGTGCCCGACCTCACTAATGCTCTTGTTGCTGAATGGAACCAAGTCCCCGCAGCAATGTTCCAACATCTAGTGGAAAGTCTTCCCAGAAGAGTGGAGGCTGTTATAGCAGCAAAGGGGGGACAAACTCCATATTAATGATTTTCGAATGAGATGTTCGATGAGCAAGTGTCCACATACTTTATTATACTTTTATAGTTATTTTGGGATCATGTAGATCCGTAAAAGCAGGCAAATGCATTTTCACCATTTACCTATAGGGAGCGCTACATGCCATCCTGAGGCTTGTTGAAATGGCACTATCAGGTTTTGTTCAGCGTGAGAAATGATACAAGTACGACAATTTTCGAACAATATGGCATTTTTGGGGAGTTTATTTACTGGATTATATATGGTCATAGGCAATGTTCCCTCTAAACTTTGCGCAGCTCCCCGGGACTGCAGTGCAGCAGAAATATCAGCCAGCGAAGAGAAACACGAGATTAAACTTCACTCAAATTTCTAGAGTTTTCCCACTTACTTAAAAATATCAACGTTTCCCTTTACTGTGTGATCGAATCAATTCAATATTAGCCATTTTCAATGCAACATACCGAAACAAAACGAACTATGCAAGATTTAGTATGGGAAACTAACTATGCAAGATATTTTGTTGTAGCAGAACGCATCGGAGTAGGATTCTATTGCATTGACATGCACGACTCAGCCATACTCTACATAGACCCGTGCAGAATAACCAAGAGGCGCTTGGTTTGAGATCAAAGCGCATATCCTGTTCATATCCTTTGCTAGTTAGTGAGTTATTAGCCAAGTTATATATTATTTGTAGTCAGTAATGGAAGAGTGATTGCTTCCTACAATAATTCAAAACGTGTACATTTCTATGTATCTTTAAAAAGCGAGTCTGGTTAAGAGCTTTTTTTTTTGTCTTAAAGGGGCAGTATTGTATTTTGAGACAGGCTTGAATAAGCTAAGTAGCCAATACGCAGAGGTAGCATATTAGCATAATTTGTCTAATTCTCTGTTATAATGGTATGGGAATAATAATGGTTTCTTGCATCAAACAACACAACATTCAGTCACCTCCTTGTCTGAATGACAAGTGGATAAACAGTTTAATGTCAAGCCCTGCATGCTTTTTTCTCTCCTCAAAAGTCATGGAATGTAGGGCTACATAAAAAAAACATGTATTTCACCTTTATTTAACCAGGTAAGCCAGTTGTAAGTTCTCATTTACAACTGCGGCCTGGCCAAGATAAAGCAAAGCAGTGCGATAAAAACAACAACACAGAGTTACATATGGGGTAAAACAAAACATAAAGTCAAAAATACAACAGAAAATATATGTACAGTGTGTGCAAATGTAGCAAGTTATGGAGGTAAGGCAATAAATAGGCTATAGTGCAAAATAATTACAATTAGTATTAACACTGGAATGATAGATGTGCAAGAGATTATGTGCAAATAGAGATACTGGGGTGCAAATGAGCAAAATAAATAACAATATAGGGATGAGGTAGTTGGGTGGGCTAATTTCAGATGGGCTGTGTACAGGTGCAGTCATCGGTAAGGTGCTCTCACAAGTGATGCTTAAAGTTAGTGAGGGAGATACGAGTCTCCAGCTTCAGAGATTTTTGCAATTCGTTCCAGTCATTGGCAGCAGAGAACTGGAAGGAATGGCGGCCAAAGGAGGAGTTGGCTTTGGGGATGACCAGTGAGATATACCTGCTGGAGCGCATACTACGGGTGGGTGTTGCTATGGTGACCAATGAGCTAAGATAAGGCGGGGATTTGCCTAGCAGTGATTTATAGATGGCCTGGAGCCAGTGGGTTTGACGACGAACATGTAATGAGGACCAGCCAACAAGAGCGTACAGGTCACAGTGGTGGGTAGTGTATGGGGCTTTGGAGACAAAACGGATGGCACTGTGATAAACTACATCCAATTTGCTGAGTAGAGTGTTGGAGGCTATTTTGTAAATGACATCGCCGAAGTCAAGGATCGGTAGGATAGTCAGTTTTACGAGGGCATGTTTGGCAGCATGAGTGAAGGAGGCTTTGTTTGCGAAATAGGAAGCCGATTCTGGATTTTAACTTTGGATTGGAGATTCTTAATGTGAGTCTGGAAGGAGAGTTTACAGTCTAACCAGACACCTAGGTATTTGTAGTTGTCCACATACTCTAGGTCAGACCCGTCGAGAGTAGTGATTCTAGTCGGGTGGGCGGGTGCCAGCAGCGTTCGATTGAAGAGCATGCATTTAGTTTTACTAGAGTTTAAGAGCAGTTGGAGGCTACTGAAGGAGTGTTGTATGGCATTGAAGCTCGTTTGGAGGTTTGTTAACACAGTGTCCAATGAAGGGCCAGATGTATACAAAATGGTGTCGTCTGCGTAGAGGTGGATCTGAGAGTCACCAGCAGCAAGAGCGACATCATTGATATACACAGAGAAAAGAGTCGGCCCAAGAATTGAACCCTGTGGCACCCCCATAGAGACTGCCATAGGTCCAGACAACAGGCCCTCCGATTTGACACATTGAACTCTATCTGAGAAGTAGTTGGTGAACCAGGCGAGGCAGTCATTTGAGAAACCAAGGCTATTTAGTCTGCCAATAAGAATGCGGTGGTTGACAGAGTCGAAAGCCTTGGCCAGGTCGATGAAGACGGCTGCACAGTACTGTCTATTATCGATCGCGGTTATAATATCGTTTAGGACCTTGAGCGTGGCTGAAGTGCACCCATGACCAGCTCGGAAACCGGATTGCATAGCGGAGAAGGTACGGTGGGATTCGAAATGGTCGGTGATCTGTTTGTTAACTTGGCTTTCAAAAACTTTCGAAAGGCAGGGCAGGATGGATATAGGTCTGTAACAGTTTGGATCTAGAGTGTCACCCCCTTTGAAGAGGGGGATGACCGCGGCAGCTTTCCAATCTCTGGGGATCTCAGACGTTACGAGAGAGAGGTTGAACAGGCTAGTAATAGGGGTTGCGACAATTTCGGCGGCTAGTTTTAGAAAGAAAGGGTCCAGATTGTCTAGCCCAGCTGATTTGTAGGGGTCCAGATTGTGCAGCTCTTTCAGAACATCAGCTGTCTGAATTTGTGTGAAGGAGAAGTGGAGGGGGCATGGGCAAGTTGCAGCGGAGGGTGCAGAGCTGTTGGCCGGGGTAGTGGTAGCCAGGTGGAACGCATGGCCAGCCGTAGCAAAATGCTTGTTGAAATTCTCGATTATTGTAGATTTATCGGTGGTAATAGTGTTTCATAGCCTCAGTGCAGTGGGCAGCTGGGAGGAAGTGCTCCTATTCTCCATGGACTTTACAGTGTCCCAAAACTTTTTGGAGTTAGTGCTACAGGATGCAAATTTCTGTTTGAAAATTGACCACCACACATTGGCTGCTATTGTAGGCTGAATGCTACAACAGCTATTCCCATGTTAAAATGTTATGGGATGCATTTTATCCATTATTTTTGATGGTAGGCCACTCTGGTAGGCCTACATTGTGATCAAATAGCCACAGTAGCCTATTTGACCACTGTCTGAAACTGTGGGTACAGCTTCAGTGTTCACAGTAAACGCGCACTGGAAGTTGCACAGAATTTTCACAATGTTGAAGTTTGCGCACAGCAGACTTGAAATTTGCTCAGTGCCAAAAACAATTATAGGGAAAATGGTCACAGGCTACTTGTAGTGATCGAGGCGTGAGCCTAATTTATGCATGAGTGAAACAGCTTTTCAGTATTCACCAACACCAGGGAAGGTAATTACTTGTGTGTGCAGATATGATGCAGATGTATGATGTCTGTCCTACGCACATTTTTCAAAATTAAAAGTTATTGCATGCTGCCATGGATCAAGGTAATTCATGACTTGTTTGGTATATTTCTTCTATAACCCAAAACGAATTAATTAATTTAAACACAAATCAGATTTATTTGACTTATTTGAATACTGTATTGGAGAAGTTTAGCATCTGAATCCATCTAGCCACCTTCCTCCAAAGTCAACATATGCCAATCTAAAGCAGATAAAAGTTAAGCAGTTTATGACTATTAATAATTAGAGCCTTGTCCCAATTAATCAGTAAAGTTGCCTTGTATAACTTTTTAGAAAATTCTAAGTGATAGAAATATTAATGTAAGTAGTATAATATACATTTACATACATTACATTTTAGTCATTTAGCAGACGCTCTTATCCAGAGCGACTTACAGTTAGTGCATACATTATTTTATCGAACCCACAACCCTGGCGTTGCAAACGCCATGCTCTACCAACTGAGCTACATCCCCTGCCGGCCAAATCCCTCCCCTACCAACTCAAGGATTCTATAAGATGCTCAACATAATGTATTTTCAGAGTCACTGAGATTACTGTCACATAAAAGCCATTGGCATTACCTGGACTGGGGGAGACAGTAATTCAGGCTTTAAAGGAAGGAGCATTGTTCACTGCAGTGATGTCAAACCAACATAGCATACGAAGAGATCACTTAGACCAGTCTTTTCAACATGAGTACAGCATGAGGTATTTTATTTCTGTCCTGCTATTCAAAACAATCAACGAGTGCTGCATCAGAGTAAGAATGGATTCAATCATATTCATTCCTCACATAAAACATAAAGCCCTGGCCTTATTATGTGCTGCCCTCTACAATAACTGTTTAAGACTATGGTGCATGGTATCTAAAAAACACACTTTCCCAAAGGGGTTTAATGAACTCTTGTCACGCAGAAATAGGCCAGGGCTATCATGTTTTATGTGAGGATGCCTAACCCAGTGCCCACCCAAACCTCAAACAAATATGGCCAGCACATTGTTCACCGATAGCCGTGTTTTGTTAATCTTGCTCCCCCTGGCAGTCCTCCACTGGCGCTGCAGGGTGATCTGGTATGCGTGGTCCCGGCCGGACTAAAACCCAAAACCCTGGTGTTGCTAACAACATGTTCAACCAACTGAGCTAAACAGGACAAAACTAAACAAATAAAAACATGGAGACATTTTCATATATCAAGTCAAAGGAGATTAAAACGATAGTCGACCCACTTTGCATTGTCAAGCAGAGAGCGGTGCCATAAAGAACTCAGTTGTTCTGTATTATGTTACCCCTACCTGCAACAAAATGAACATCTGGGGACAATACAGTTTGAGCCATTACACCTCCAAAACAACTAATAGTTTTATCCCATCTCATTTCAGAAAGGGCCCTACTGGATATTTGAGCCAAGGTGGTACTCAAAACCAATAGAATGAACTATAGGTTATGGGCCTAAGTTGTAAAGAGATTAGGCAATTCATAGTTCTCCTCTCTTGTTTTCTTCTTTAATGAAACATTAGCTCTGCGGAGTCAACACGGTTGCATAAGACTCCACCCAGTTAATTATATATGGCACCCAAGTCGTTTCCATGATGATTACTGTGTACTCTACTCCTTCCTGTTCGAGGCGTACGACTACGTGTCCTCGCTGAGAGGGCCTCGTCAAGCTCCAATCACAGCCTGGTATAGCCCCAGCTCCCCCACCTCCTGAACAACAAGCTCACCCACAAGCTCAGCCTGGACCACCTCCAAGAGTTCTTCGACACTGTAAAGACCTCCAGTGGCACTTAACTACTGTATTTGGAACTGGAGCCACTATAAATATATAATTTTACCGGCCGACTACTTGTTTTCTTTCCTGTTCTAAACAAATACCATCAAGACCTCCAGTGGTGTCAGGTTACATACCGACTGCTGTTGGTCCACTGTCCATCAGTTCACCTCAGCTTATAAGAGAATAGAGTTTCACATTTAACATTGCAACCCTGAAGGAATGGTGGAGGAGGCACTCTACTTTACACGAGTTACAAAGCAATAATATCCTAATAGAGTGGAATATTCCACAGCTAATCTTTAGGTATGTAATAACTGATAACTAATTATGAGCAGATATTTAACACAATGAAACTGTTTGAACCTCAGAACAGCCCCCCACTAGCCTGCCAGCTTCTAAGAAATACACACAAAATGTTAAAATACAATAGCTCAAGAATTTCTGCATTAAAATATCAGTCTGTTTGGCTGGGTGGCAATCAAGTGCCGATTGAGCAATTTCTGTTGTCCCCTCCAGAGAATGGACAGTTTGATGAGCTGGTGATCCCTCTTCTCTGCATCAGGGGGCATAGTGTACATCAACAGTGTACGGATATCATCAGCCTGAGGAAGGAGGAGGATGTGGTCAGAGGGAGAGTTACTGGGTGATAAGGGCTTTCCCTAGCCATGTGTGTCAAAATATATTTGATGGGAATTATTGTGAGCAGACTACATCATCGTCAGACAGTTGTGCAACTAGAAAAATTTAACACATGCATACATTCACTATGTCTACCATTCTGAGCAAAAAACTTATGAGAGCTCTCTTGTTTATGTTGAGAATCAGAGAATACTGATGGGAACACTTTTCATTTGACATCTTTATGTTATCTACTGTTAGCACTAGCAGAGGAAGGATGCGTATCGTGGCCAGGTCAAGTGCGGTCTGTCTCTCCTACTTCTTCATGATAGGGTCAGTTCCGTGGGCCAGCAGTAGAGCACACAGCGGAGTACGGCCCTTCTGAGCCGCCTCGTGGAAAGGGGTGAAGGCCCACTTGTCTGTGGCTTTCACACACACACACACACGTTGAACTTGATCAGGAGGGCCGCAATGCCCACGTGCTGTAGAGGAGAGACAGAGGAGAAGTGACAGAGAAGAGAGGACTGGAAAGACAGGGGAGAAGTGACAGAGAAGAGAGGACTGGAAAGACAGAGGAGAGGAGTGACAGAGAGGAAAGGAGCGAGAGACGACATGATTTAACCTCATCATGACTTGCCCAAAAACTGATGACATCCAAGCTGTTACATATCTAGACTTTCCACAAGGTCACTTTCATCACATTGTGGGTGTTTTTCCATTATATGTGCTGTACGGTTTTCTGTAAGGTTTTGTAAACTTAACAATCATACAATGTCTTCTAAAGCCTGATGACACCTAAGCTGTTATATATCTTAGGCAACAAGGTCACAGCATAGGTATTCTGTGTGCATTGTCTATGTTATTAAAAACCTTATGGCAAACCGTACAGCATGTAAAACGTCTTCAAAGGCCTGATGTAATCTTTGTTGTGACTGACCCCATATTAGGCATCATTGTGAAAAGGGATGAGGCCTCCTTTGTCCTGTGCGTTGATGTCAGCCCTTTGCTCCAGGAGATACTCTGCCACCTCCAGGTTGTTGTAGCCAGCTGAGGTGGGAAACAAGAGGAATGCCAAAATAAAACTAACAGTCTGCCTAACAAAAAACCTTAACGCAAGATCTTTCTGTAATGGCCGTCAAAGTAAAAAAAAAACTCCACATTTCCCAAAGTCCCAGGGTTTGATGACCTGGCTGTCATCGTTTTATGCATTTCTGTTTGGGAGTAGGTTTCTAAAAAGGTATGTTTGCTGTCCACATTTGCCATGAAATTAATTGAAGTAAATTTTCATAAAAAGAGTCCTCAGTAGTCTATTTTGATTATGAGTTTTGTTTTCACATACACATGAAATTACATCATGCATGACATATCCTAAGACATACTGTACAAAACAGTTATTGTTGAATAGGCGTAACTAAGCTATTCACAAGTTATAACATGGCTGGTTGTGTTATCTTCAGGTTATGTCAACCAGAGCTCTTTGAACGCAAATTCATTTTCATGATCCATCCAAATATAATAGCTGATGTTAATTGTCATGATCCAATTTGTGTCAGATAGAATGCACATTTCGTGGAATACTAGTGCCATGATGAAGTAGCTGTTTCTGGGGCAAAGAAGGCTAGTTTCGACATCTGACACTTTGGGTTCAGATACAGTAATGGTTTGGAGTGTTTATAATGTGGTTAGACATTTTCAGAATGTTCTATAGCAATGTTGACACAACAAAACATGGATGACAATTATGTCAATAACTGCAATAATCTATTTTTAAAAAAATGACCTTGGAGAATCGACTACGATTAAGGAAAGAGTGATAAAGGGTCTACATTTCAAAACAGAGGATCAACTCTTTTAAATGGTACAACACTTAATAAAAAAAACAATTAAGTGAGTGCCCTGCCACAGAAAGTTGAGGTTACAAAAAGTGTAGGTTAGAGAAATGTTACCGTACTCAAATTCACAGAAAGGGCTCTGGATACAAGGATTGATAGTCTGACATGCAAATAGGAGTTATAAAGATATGTTGAATGCAATACATTTTGTATTTACAAATGTTTGTAAAGTCATAATCTAGTCTAGTCATAATCTATTACAATCAGTGGCTAATGGCTATATCATAAATGAAGGCCCTACAAAACCTTCCTTAGTAGTCTATCTTGATTATGAGTTTTGTTTTCACATACACATGAAATTACCATGCATGACATTGCCTATGACATACTGTACACAACAATTATTCATGTTGAATAGGCGTAAACTTTTTCATCAATGCTTATGCATTCATATTTACTCACATGCATCACAAGTTATAGCTAATACATGGCTGATTGTGCTATTTTCACGTAATAGCAACCAGAGCTCTATGAACGTGAAAACATTTTCTTGATTAATCTAAATATATTAGCTGACGTTAGTTGTTGTAGTATATAGTACCGCACACTTATACCACCATTGACAAGCGCGTAGTAATACGGGTGTCACGCTCTGGCTCCGGGACTTTGTATGTTGAGCCAGGGTGTGTTCGATGTTTCGTGTTTGTTTGGTTTTGTCTGTTAGTCACACCTGTTTTGTGTTAGGTCTCATTTAGCACCCTATTTAGTTTCCTTGTTGTTAGGTTTGTGTTGTGTGTGATTGTTCGTGTCGTGGTTGCGCTACCCGTGTCGGTACGCTATTTTTCCTGAGCTTCCTCTTTGTTGTGTGAGGAGAGATTTACGCACCTGTGTGTGCGCTTGTATTTACGCCTGTGTGCGTCTTTTGCCTCCGGGCTGTTTTGGATTACTTTTCGTGCTCAGTAAAGTCTTGTTGGACTTACCCTCTGCTGCCTGCGCCTGATTCCACACCACACCCATACACAGCACCGTGACAGAAAAACCCACCTTAACCAGATCAAGCAGCGTGACGAGGAGAGAGGATGGACGTGGGAGGAGATGATTGCGAGTCTGGCAAGAGGGAGAGAGGCCTGGGCCACGGGGAGGAGAGACCCCCAGGACATTTTTAGGGGGGGGCTCACGACGTCGGGGCAGCAGGTGTACGGGTTAGAGCGGTGCAAAGCGTTGGCAGAGAAGGCTGCCAGGTTAGGGGGGCCACTGGGCACAGAGGAGAGGGAAAGTGTGGAGGCACGGCGAGAGGTACTGGGGTGTGTTACCAGTCCGGTCCGGCCCGTTCCTGATCCCTGCGTGGGGCCAGTGGTGTGTGTCCCCAGTACGGTCCGGCCTGTTCCTGCCATTCCCACCAAGGCAGTGGTGCGCGTCGTCAGCCCAGCCCGGCCTGTTCCTGCCATTCCCACCAAGTCTGTGGTGTGCGTCGACAGCCCGGCCCGGCCTGTTCCTGCCATTCCCACCAAGTCAGTGGTGCGCGTCGTCAGCCCAGCCCGGCCTGTTCCTGCCATTCCCACCAAGTCAGTGGTGCACGTCGTCAGCCCAGCCCGGCCGGTTCCTGCCATTCCCACCAAGTCAGTGGTGTGCGTCGACAGCCCAGCCCGGCCTGTCCCTGCTCCACGCACCAAGCCTACGAGGTGCGTCGCCAGTCCAGCCCGGCCTGTCCCTGCTCCACGCACAAAGCCTACGGTGTGCGTCGCCAGCCCAGCCCGGCCTGTTCCTGCTCCACGCACAAAGCCTACGGTGTGCGTCGCCAGCCCAGCCCGGCCTGTCCCTGCTCCACGCACAAAGCCTACGGTGTGCGTCGCCAGCCCGACCCGGCCTGTTCCTGCCACTCGCACCAAACCAGGGGTGCGAGTCGCCAGCCTGGTCCAACCCGTTCCTGCTACTCGCACCAAGCCAGGGGTGCGAGGCGTCAGCCTGGTCCAGCCCGTTCCTGCTACTCGCACCAAACCAGGGATGCGAGTCGTCAGCCTGATCCAGCTCGTTCCTGCTACTCGCACCAAACCAGGGAATGGAGTCGTCAGTCCGGTGAGGCCCGTTCCTGTTCCACGCACCAAGCCAGGGGCGCGTGTCGTCAGTCCGGCTCCGACCAGCGGGGCTAGACAGGACCAGGGGTACTTTGGGGGGTTGGAGAGGAGGTGGGGATCAGGGCCGGAGCCAGAACCACCGCCGAGGAGGTATGCCCACCCAGCCCTCCCTTGTTTAGCCCTTATTGAGGCGCGGTCGCAGTCCGCGCCTTTAGGGGGGGGTACTGTCACGCTCTGGCTCCGGGACTTTGTATGTTGAGCCAGGGTGTGTTCGTTTCGTTGTGTTCTGTTTGGTTGGGTTGTTCTATGTGGTTGTATTTCTTTGTTTGGATGAGTGACTCCCAATCAGAGGTAACGAGTGTCAGCTGTTTGGCTCGTTGTCTCTGATTGGGAGCCATATTTATAATGTCTGTTTTCACCTTGTGTTTGTGGGTTTTTGTTCCTTGTCAGTCATTGTCTGAGGACGTTACGTATCGTTTATTGTTTTGTATTCGTGTTTGCACTTTACTATTAAAGTATGTTCGCTCAACACGCTGCGCCTTGGTCCTCTCTAACCAACGATCGTGACAACGGGGTTGTCATGCAGTCGGAAAGTGGTTCTGGTCTTGAAGCTATCGATGAATGAATATGTAATCTGCGGTCCACTAATAAACTTAATTTGGTCCTCTGTAGCTCCGTTTTTCTTTTATTTTTTATTTTATTCGTTTCTTTTCATTTTTTAAAATTATTATTATTATTATTTTAGTCATTTAGCAGACGCGACTTAGTTAGTGAGTGCATACATTTTTTCATACTGGCCCCCCATGGGAATCCATCGCCATGCTCTACCAACTGAGCTACACGGGACCAGTTGGTAGAGCCTGGCGCTTGCAATGCCAGGATAGTGAGTTTGATTCTCGGCACCACCCATACGTAAAAATGTATGCAAGCATGACTAAGTCACTTTGGATAAAAGCGTCTTGTTATATTGTTATTTTGTATTTAAAGTCAAGCTTCATTAGTCATCTATATACAGTGGGGGAAAAAAGGCCTGTAATTTTCATCATATGTACACGTCAACTATGACAGACAAAATGAGAAAGAAAAATCCAGAAAATCACATTGTAGGATTTTAAATGATTTTTTTTGCAAATTGTGGTGGAAAATAAGTATTTGGTCACCTACAAATAAGCAAGATTTCTGGCTCTCACAGACCTGTAACTTCTTCTTTAAGAGGCTCCTCTGTCCCCCACTCGTTACCTGTATTAATGGCACCTGTTTGAACTTGTTATCAGTATAAAAGACACCTGTCCACAACCTCAAACAGTCACACTCCAAACTCCACTATGGCCAAGACCAAAGAAATGTCAAAGGACACCAGAAACAAAATTATAGACCTGCACCAGGCTGGGAAGACTGAATCTGCATTGGTTTGAAGAAATCAACTGTGGGAGCAATTATTAGGAAATGGAAGACATACAAGACCACTGATAATCTCCCTCGATCTGGGGCTCCACGCAAGATCTGACCCCGTGGGGTCAAAATGATCACAAGAACGGTGAGCAAAAATCCCAGAACCACACGGGGGGACCTAGT